GAAAAAGCAGGGAAAATCCCAGTAGCTGACTCTTTAATAAACCACTTAACCACTTCTGACACAAACACAAAACAATCAAATTGCCAACCTCTAGCTCTTCAGCTAGGATTGCAGCCTTAATACAGTACTAGAAGAAGAAGGAGAAACAAATCAGGTGGGTTAATTGAGGATAAGGAGTGACCAGTTAATCAAACTTAAGCCAACAAAGAAATGGGGAAGTGTGAAGAGAGAGGTAGTGCAGCCATAAGTAATGCATAGCCTTGTTGAACTTAAACTTCCATTATTGTTCATGGTTGGTAACTGCTGGATAGCTCAGTGGTTTAGGTATATGGCTGTGGACCCAAAGGTTGGGAGTCTGATTCCCCGCTGTGTCTCCTTGACAGGAACTGGACTTGATGATTCATAAGGTCCCTTCCAGCTATGCATTTATAAGATGTTGGCTATAACGTCAGACCAGCGTTCCTGCCTTTGGGGGAGTCTTCTTTGTCATCTGCCATCCCTCGGGCACTGGGTGAGAGACTCCTGGGGGAGATTGGTCTCGACTCCCTCGGCCTTGCAGGACTGGGCCCTTGTTGCTTCTGGCTGACCCACCACATTCTCAATATCAGCCACCTGGCTCGGAGGGGAGAAGGGGCTTTATAAGCCAAAGCCTGTGCCAGGGCCCTGCCAGACCAGCATTCCTGCCTTTGGGGGAGTCTTCTTTGTCACCTGCCATCCTCATCCAAGATAGAATATTTAAACACATAGAAGAACAAGCCTTGCTGAGGGAAAATCAGCATGGTTTCTGTAAGGGTAAGTCTTGAATCACAAACCTTTTAGAATCCTTTGAACAGGTCAACAGGAATGTGGATATGGGTGAAACAGTGGATATTGTCTATCTGGATTTTCAGAAGGCATTTGGCACGGTCCACCGAAGGCTGCTGAGAAAACTCCACAGTCAGTGAATAAGAGGGCAGGTCCTCTTATGGATTGAGAATTGGTTGAGAACCAGGAAACAGGTATTAGGTGTCAATGGGCAATTTTCAAAATGGAGAGAGCATTCCTCCCTTTGGAATGAAGAGCAGTATGCCCCAGGGGTCTGTCCTAGGACCAGTGCTATTCAGCCTGTTCATAAATGACCTGGAGAGAAGGATAAGCAGTGAGCTGGCCAAGTTTGCTGATGACATGAAACTTTTCCAGGTGGTGAAAACTGGAAGGAATTGTGAAGAGCTCCGGAGGGATCTCTAAATATAAGAAAACGTAAAGTAATGCACATAAGGGGGGGAATCAAAACTTTAGCTATCAGCTGATGGGTTCTGAGCTGTCTGTGACAGATCAAGAAAGATCTTGGTGTGCTGGTGGAGAGCTCGATGAAGGTGTTAACCCAGTGTGTGGTGACAGTGAAGAAGGCCACTTCCATGCTACTCGTACGTATCATTAAAAATGGATTGAAAGTAAAACAGGCAATATTATAATGCCATTGTACAAAATGCTAGTAAGCCTGCACCTGGAGTATTGTGCACAGTTCTGGTTTCCGCACCTCAAAAAAGACAGTGGAACTGGAAAAGGTGCAGAAGAGAGTGACTAAAATGATGACTCAGCTGGGGCACCTCCCTTATGAGGAAAGGCTATAGCAGTGATGGTGAACCTTTTTGAGCCCAAGTGCCCAAACTGAAAAAAGAAACCACAAAAAATCCAGCGAGTGGCAGTGGAAGCAGATGTGGCAGCAGAAGGGGGAATCCCAGGCACGGTGGTGTCTCCAGACCCCACTCTGGATCCGCCTCCAGTTGTGCCTAACCCCACCACTCCCTATAGCTCAGGCGGCCCGCCAGTGCCAGCTGCTCTGGATCCTGGCTCGCCACCTATCGGGGCACTAGCAGCATGGCTGCAGCCACCTCTTCAGGTTTGGCTGCCAGGGGTAGCAATCCAGTGACTTATGGCTCACATGCCCACCAAGAATGCTCTGTGTGACAGCTGTGGCACATGTGCCATAGTTTCACCATCACTGGTCTATAGCATTTGGGGCTCTTTAGTCTAAAGAAAAGGCACTTGGGGGGGCATGATTGAGATGTATAAAATTATGCAGGGGATGGATAAAGTGGATACAGGGAAGTTCTTTTCCCTCTCATGCAATACTAGAACCAGGGGACATCCACTCAAATTGAGTGTTGGGAGAGTGAGAACAGACAAAAGAAAATATTTCTTTACCCAGCATGTTTTTATGCTGTGGAATTCCTTACTACAGGATGTGGTGATGGCATCTGGCCTAGATGCCTTTAAAAGGGGATTGGACAGATTTCTGGAGGAAAAGCTCATTGCAGGTTACAATCCAGGATGGGGATGTATAATCTCCAGGCTTAAAAGGAAGGTATCTCAAAATGGCAGATGCAGGGGAGGGCTATCAAGAAACAGCTATCTAGTTGTCTCGCATGCTCCCAGAGGCATCTGGTGGGGCCACTCTCAGAGACAGGAAGCTGGACTAGATGGGCCCTTGGCCTGATCTACCAGGGCTCTACTTGTGCTCTTATGTAAGGAATTCTCTCTCCAATTTAGTTGGGGGGTATTTGTAATTTGGAATACAGTTTGAATCCCTTTGGAACTGGCGAAAAAACTACCGACATTAAGAGTCCGTCTCTAAATGAGATTTGTCCTGTCCCCAACTACTCCACTAGCAAGGTAAAATAAGCTTTAATACTTGAAGATATGTCTTAAGGATAATCACCTGAAAACATTACTCTCATAGAATATAATAACAACTTTGTATGTGATCAGATAGCTGCAGAGTGACTGTTCTCCTGTTGATCGTTTGTAGTTTTGCCTAAACAGGAGTCATGAAATGGTTCCAGTAAAGGCTTCAACTTATTGTACTAGGTTGTGATGATAACAAGTAGTAATATTCTTTATTCTTTCCTTACTAAGGGGGTTGGCTTGCACAGCCACATACTGCCACAGAATGATCCTTTGGCTCATACTGAAACATTGAATGATAAGTCTGATAGAGCAGTTTCTGTAATTTAGACAAACATCATAGCACAGGGGCTGAAATCCAGTAATGTCAAAAGTAAGTAGGCCCATTGAATCAGCGAGGATTTGGTGAATTAATTCCATTGATTCAATAGGCCTACTTCAGTTTGTTTGTTTGTTTGTTTTATTTATACCTGCCCATGTAGACTGAAGTCTACTCTGGGCGGCTAACAATAAAAATAAAATAAAAACAATATAATAAAATTTAAAAAACCAACAATAGTAATATAGTTCAAGATGGGGGAAAATATTCAAGTAAGGACAGGAGGGAAAACCTGCCTAAAGAGCCAAGTCTTAAGTTTGCTCTTAAAAACACCCAGCAAGGGAGCCAGACTGTTTGAAAGGTGAGAGGCCACTGCCAAGAAGGCCCAGTTTCTTGTTCTTTCTCTCTGGGCCTCCCTCGGCGTTAGGCCCCTCAGCTGCCCTTCCTGGCTAGAATGAGTGATTTGGGTAGATTTAGGTGGGAGGATTTCCACTTTGAAATCAATGTGGAAACGAATGG